ATCTACTCGTTAACACAAGGCCCACGCGGAACGTTTTTTTCTGTGCCTTCTCAACCTGTGTTTTCTACGATACCAGAAGCACGCTCTTTGCGCATAATTACGAAGCTTCTTATCCACTTATTTGATGGCATAGATAGCTGAAAACATGTAAAATAATACTTTGCATGCGCCTTAAAATGTCAAGCTTGCTTTTTATGTTTGCTTCATAAACTTCAAAATTTTGCCTCTTTTCCAGTTGCACCCGTTTGACATTAAATTCCAGTTGCACCCTTCATTTATGACCATAAAGTATTTTTCATAAGCTTACACTGAAGAAAATGCGGAGAATGGTTCTCTTCCGAGTTTTTAATTCGTATTCCTTATAGACAAAACTGCCTTAAAATGGATGTCTTATTCTGTCATCGGATGTCACCTCCTCGTTGGCCGACTATTTCTAACTTCGTGGCAGCACTTCTTGCTTACTACGGTAGTTTAGAAGCATTTATGTTTGTTGAAATCATCACCTTGGCTTGTTAGCATAAATAGAACGTCTACATAAGTGGACGTCACTGGCATATGTAGAACCTAGAATGTTCGCTGCGTTCGTACCTTTTCGACACTTCTGTTATAAGGCACCAGTTAATGCCTCACAGAAGGAACATTTAATATAAGAAAGCAGATCCGCCTGTACCTTGTTCCTCTATGTTGCATGCTGCCCTCCTTGTCGACGTTGGCCCTATGTCTGCTGCCGCATGAGAAGCTCATTGGCCAGAGTAAATGGTTTATGTTCAAGTAGTTAGTCTAGCAGAGGACAGTCTCTTTCGTTAATCTCCACATTTACTGAGCTCACCTGTTTCAGGATTAGAATAATGTCTTTACTTACGTGGTCGTGTCATTTAACCCTCATTATGCATCGAAGTCGATGCTGTACGCAGTTAAACTCTCGTTCTAGCTCCTTCATTTGAATAGCTGTTTCCATGCCGTACAACAACGTTGACCTGACAGATTTTTGTGTAAAGAGATTCTCCTTTTTTAGCGCAAATATTGGACAGATTTCCAACAGCACTTGAAGTGACGTCGATCCTCCTGTTTAACTCTGACGAAATGTTAGCATCGCTGGAAGTGGAACCTAAATACTTAAGCTAAACAACCTCTTTTACCGTTTCACGTCTCTATTCCATCTGTGGATGGTTCCAGACGTTAAAATGGAGGCCGGTTTTTGCAGCTGTGTTGCATGCGGAAGCCATCAGATGACAGAGCCCACTTCTCGTTCTACTTATCAGGACAGTATTATCTGCGTGCACCAGGTCAGCAAGAGATTCTAACCGGATCTGCACCTTCCCTTTAGAATGAGACCATCGTGTTTGTCAGAGTCTGCACTTTCAGAAAATTATGTCGAAAACACTGTTGAACAGTAAAGGCGAAATCAGTTTCCATGGCGAGCTCCATAGTTAATAGAGAACAACGGACATAGCTCTCCTTCAACGTTGAAAGCAGACATAGCTGTTGTGTATATATATCATCCAAAATAAAAACGATTGTCCTGGTATCCCAAAGCATTTTGAGATTTTCCACAGCGTCGGACGATTTAATGAATGAAATGCTTCCGCAAAGTTTAGGAAACTGATAAACCAAGTAAACGAATCTTCGGCGTTGTTCAAAATCGCTGAAGT